CAGCGGGGCTTCTTAAAAACACATATAGGCAGGGTAAATATAGGTTCAGGTGCGGCTACGTGCCGCTCCGGCCCCGTGCGCCCGCCCGCGGAGCGACCGCACCTGCGCTCGGAGGGGTGCGCGGGGCTGGGGCTGGGGCTGGGGCTGGGGTGAGGGATTTGGGGGCTGCCGGAGGGGGAATGGTCAGAGTTATTCCCAGGCAGCGAGTAGCGCTGCGCAGATTTCACATGATCTCCCTAATTCCGCGCTTTCTATTTTATGATTTCTTGCCAGCATCTCAGTGTGTTTCTGTTTAGATATACTAAGCTCCTTGAAATTAATTAACCTGTGGTCAGCGACAAAAAAAGTAATACTGGTTAAGCTATATTCCTTTACAACGTTTGGTCACAGTTAGTTACAGAATTTTCCAGCTGTGAAGATGATGTACACTATTTACTGTAATTGAATTGCTGTTATAACACCTTTCAAGAGGAAAAGTGATACATGACAAAAGTTTAGCCGGCGCGGGGCCCCTTTCCCCGCCAGCCCAGGTTCTCTGCAATAAAAACCTGCGCTGGGCCAGGACTCCCTGGGGGCGGCCGGCCGGGGGGGTCCCAAACGGGGAACGCGGCAGCTTCATCCCGGGGGATAGGGGCTTTTTCCCGCCCCTGGGAAGCCCGCGGAAAGCAGCGCAGCGGGAGCCCGCCCGTGTCCAGCGCATCCCGCCGGGAAAGGCTGAGATCGGTCCCCGGCTGCACGGGGCAGCCCAAACACTGCCCATCCCCGCGGCATCGCGGCGTTATCCCAAACCCCGCTGCTTCCCAGGCTCCTGCAACCCGGGGCGTGCTCTGAGCAGCGGGAGCCGGGATCCATCTCTATCTGGAAGCAGGAAAAAAAAATAAATATATAAATAAATAAAAGCAACCCTTCTCCTGTTTGGGGAGGCAATCGGATTTATTCCTTTCCAACTCGTAATAGATTCTCTAGAGCATCAGAGCGATTATTTTATAAAGTAAATTCAAAGCAGGCTGTTCATTAAATCCCATTATTATTTAAAGGGAACGATCAGTTGGGAAAAAAAATCTATCTAATTTGGAGGAAGAAAAACACACACACACATTTTAAACAATTTCTGTAACTTTTGCTACCTTTGGCGTTTTTGGCAAGAGAACAAATAAAACCACGGACTAGTTAGAAGTGTTTTTTTCCCCTTCTCTCTCTCTTTTTATTCCCCCTCTTCTCAGTGCCACATAACAGCCTTTCCTCCTTCAACTTCAAAGAGAGCTGAAAGGACAAACATTCTGATACAGCTAATAATACATGGGGAGAAAGAATTTGCATTCCTTAGCAAATATAAGTGCTCATTAATAGAATCTTGTATTTGGCTAAGAACATCTTGCCGGTACTGCTGGGAGACAGAAAAGTGTTCACGCGGGGAGGGGGGGTTGAGGAAGAGTTTTGATTGACGGTGAAGGAGCTGCATCTTCCCCCTTTCCCCCAGTAACGTATATTAGGTCAACGATTACTATTAGGAAAATAATAATAATAATCGTAAAGGAACAGATGGGGACAGAGTGCCCTGCGACTTCTGAAAGGCACAGCAAGGACTTGCTTCCTATGAATTCATCGAGATAAGGTGAATTGGGCTCTTAGGCCGTGTGCCTGCTCTCGGCTGGCTCCGAGGGCAGGAGAGGGACGGGACGGAGGAGCAGGGACTGGGACCAGGGGACTGGGACCAGGGAGCGGACCCAGCCCCGCGCTGCTGCCCTCACCCGCTCCGAGTCCAGTTTCCCCCTCTCTGGGCCGCACAGCCCTGGCTGGAGACGCTCTGCAGCTCCAAGGCTTTTGCACAGCTGTGGAGCCCCTTTTCTGGTGCCATGCCAGGGGCACAGCCCTCTATCGGAGCTGCACCCCTACTATGTGCCCCCTGGCATTCTTATTTATTTATTTATTTATTTATTTATTTATTTATTTATTTATTTTCATCAGAGTTTCGCACACATCCTCTCATCCTTCGGATACTACCACTAGGAGCTACTTTTCTTGGAGCAGGGACTTCGGTAGGATCTAAACCAGGTTACTGCTCGTGGTTAAAAAGAAAAGTCTGGCCGTGGGTCCATGTGGCTGAGAGCTCACTGGTGGAGAAGCTGGACCTGAACTGTAGCACTTAGTTTTAAACATCTTGTAATTGGCAGCATTGAAAAGGCAGAAAATTTATGCTGAACTATTATTTTAAAGGATCTCTCCAGTTTATTATCATTTCAGCCCTCAACATCAGGTTTGGATATCTTTCTGGTAACTAACCCCTAATTCAACCCCAGGGTTCACAGCAGAAGGTATATACTGATTAAGAATATTGCCCTCCCCTGAGTGTTATATACAGCACAGCAAACTTTGTTGCCTTTAGCCCCGTTCTGGCTTTCACACTTTCAGGTTTATTTAATGACGTTATCTTTGCCTGGGAGCTTCTTTAGCTTTGGTTAGGCTAGGGAGGAGTGTTTTTTGGACATGTATGTGAGTGTATTTGCATTACCCGAACACAGCTGAACACAATTTGCCTGTGACTTTAGTGGGACCATATTTCATCAGAGATGCACATGAATGTCAAAGGAGCCATGCTAGTAAAGCTTCACATGTGGTTCTCGGGGGGAGCAGAAACTTGGGCTTCAAAGAAATCCTGTGTTTTATTAGCATAATCTGTAGAAATTGTCTSCCAGCGGCTGCATGTTGGTTTAGGCCTAGCGGTCACTGGTCTAATAACCTTCTAACTGAGGCTGGGATTAAAAAGTCAAAAGTTTTTCGTTCATTCAGAAAGCAGGACCCTCCGCCTGACCACACTGATGTCCAGGTTGACCTTTTGCTCTACCCTAGTGGTTCCCAACCGGTGCTGGCCCAGAGATAACAATATCAAGCAAGGAATATACTGTCTTTTTTTTTTTTTTTTCTTTTTTTTTTTTCCCTCTCTTCTCCCCATCCTTTTTCACTCCTATGACTGTGGGTCACCTCAGAGGGTCCATAAGGTTGACAAATTACCAACCCTTTTGTTTCAGGGTCTCCCCGAAACCTGCCTGTCAGCTTTGCTCCGGGGCTGTGCACCCAGGAACCCTTCCTGGTGGGCAGCCCAAGGYCCCGGAGCTCCGGAGCAGCTGCAGCAGGGGACAGCCCCAGGGTGAGGAATGCACATCCTCAGCCATGAAAAAAAATGTTTCAGATGCAATTACTTGGACATCTGTTTCATCAAAAAAAAAAAAAAAAAGCAATTCTAATGAGACATGCTAAGAGATTTTAGTATGTTGATAGACTACTTCCTGCTCCTCATACCTGGAATAAACACACTCCCAAGCTATTGGCCTCTAGGAATGACTTTTTCTTTTYTTTTTTTTTTTTTCCCCTGGATAATTCCTTTTCTTCACACAGAGCACTGGAGTGTCAGTATCGTGCACTTGATGCTTTTCAGTGCTCTCTAACAGCTTCGTGCCATTGCCAGCCTTTAATTTACCCACAGATTCCTGCTTCTCCAGGCTGCAGGTCTGTCTACACTAGGTTCCCTCAATACAACGACGTCCTTCTGCACAAGCTATCATTTTTTAATGTAACAGTTCTATGAGGGCAAGAGTCTGCTTTGCTTCCTGCTTAATCTGGCCAGGGAATCTGTTTTCCCCCTTGGGYTTGTACTGTAAAGTTTATCTCCTCCAAAGGTCTCCCTGTCCTTCAGGGAGCATGCCAGGGGAGCCTGCTCTGCTTGCTCTTTGGCACATCAAGACCATTTTGGCATCATCTGTCACCTGCCCTAACCTGCTGCTGCATCCTGAGTCATAACCACGTACATTGGCTGCCTTGTCAAGTGATGCTCTCCCTAGCTTTTCATGGGATCTTCCTAGATTTTTTTTTTTTTCTCATTTAATAAGCAGTGACCAGAGATGCTGCATGTGTGGTTGGGATTTTAACAGATGAACTTCATAGCAYTGCCTGTGAGTGGGTGATTGCCTTCCCCCAGGCTCTTCCCATCCTGTTCCTCGCAGCTGTCGGGTCTGGTGCCCTGAAAATGGCCCATTTCCAGAACTCTTAGTCAGTATTGGTCATGGTACAGTCTCTTCTGGAAGAGGGAGTCCAAGCTGAAGCAGCTGAAAACAGAACTTGTTTTGCTGTTGGCATAGTCATGGATGTGGACTTCCCATACTTTGTTTTTAGAAGTATTTTTTCCAGCTCTCTTGCTATTTTTTCTAAGCCTCCCTCTCACAAAATGTGCTGATACTACAGGAAATTGTCACCCATCTGTCCTTTYCCTAGACAAGGAATATACATATAGATGCTTATATGTATATGTAATTGCAAAAAGGAGAAGAAAGGGTCAGGTGTTGCTATGGAAAGAGACTGTTAATCTGCAGCAGAACTGGTAGCACAGGAGGTAAGAGACTTCACCTGTGCAAAATGAGCCTTTAAAAGGAAGCTGGTGACTAGCTCAGCCTTGCTCCAGGAGACACCTGCCCCAGGTTTGATAATTTGATAATTTGTTCCTCTCATTATCTCCCTTTGCAGATGGCTAGGTTTTCGTTTATCAAAATGTATCCTTCTCTAGGACTAATTCTGAAAGCCCATTTTCACAAGGCATTGATGTGAATACTTTGCAAAAACACTTAATGTACAGATTCCAGGCAGATATAAATTGCTGCAACTTTCTCCAAAGTCCTGTGATGATTTGTGCTAGCTGAGCATCTAGGCATGCAGATAAAACACCTTTTCACCCCCTGTTCCCTTTTAAAAATTGTATCCAAAAGGTAAGGAGTGGGAGGTGTGGGGAGAGAAGAATCTGTTTTTTTCTGCCCACATCTGTTCTGTTAAAATTACGTTCCTGTAGCCCTTGAAGCTTGTGCTGCCGTCTCTGTGCCATCATGTTTCCGAGCTGGACTTCCTCTGGCATCCTCAGTGCCACCAGCCTGTGGCACGTGAAACCATCTCTGCTCCTATTTACTCCCTGATAAAGGGAACTTCTTCTCTTCTTTACAGGGCAAGACACAATGATGGCAAAGTGATGAAATGGAGATGCCAGTCCACCCAGTGCCAAAGGTGGCATGGGCTTTACCATCAGCTGGCCAAGGGAGCTGCCTTTAACCCACCGATTGGCCTTTCTCCTTTTAAACCACGGGAGATGCATTATCCAGCAGCCACATCTTGGCTGCATTTAAAAGCAGGGGAATAAAAAGCAGATTCCCCAGCAGAGTTGCTTGCCTGCAAAATTCAGTTTGTGTCCCGGTCTGGCTCTTTTTGCATCTGACAGAAGTTATCTTCCCGTATGTGCTCTTCAGCTGCCTGAGAGCTGTGTCCTGGGATGACTCCTCCCGCAGATGGAAAGTGGACTTAAATTTTTCCTTTAATACAGGCYTTTCCACTCCCTGCTTTTTTCTTCCCTCATTGACATCAGTCTTGACRTTTGGTGATACCTTTCCCGGTCCCTTTGAAGATGCCCCGTGGACCACGCAGGCTGCTCGAGGGGATGTGAAGGAGCTTGCCCAACACCATGTGCATCAAGGCCACAGACCTCGTGTTGCACACACATGTATTGACTCAGGTATGCAAACAACATTTTATTTTGCTGCCACTCTCCATTTCAGTGTGTGTGTATATATATATCTATGTATATTTGTTATCCTTTGCCAAGGAAATATGAGGGTCACTGCCTGAGGGAAATATGRGGGCCACTGCTTATAGAGAATAAGAATTGGTGGCTTGGAATTAAGTAYTGACATTTTTATTTGTCTCTCCTATCTCTGGCATAGAGGTTTTATTCAAAATTAGCTGTTTATAGTATTTTTATATAGTTGTGAACTATAAAATCATGACAAGAAATCATCAAATCTGCTTCTTGCCTCTTTTGAATTTTTTTACACTCTCAAAATATTCCTTTCTCATCTGTATTCACTTGTAGGCAAACACACAGATATATGTTGATATACAGAGGGGGAAAAAAAGAAAACACGGAATGAAGGTGGGATTTTGCTGCCTACTCAGAAAGCACAACTGGAACAAGGGACATCTGCCTAATTCTGCTACAGCTTCTGGGAATAAATTCAACTAGTTGCCCATGACTCCTCACTGTGTGTCTGGGCTGAAGAACCAGCATCTGGAAAACAGGTACAGAGTCTCCAGCTACACTAGCCCAAAGCTAACTTAATGGTTAGCTTCTCCGGTGACTGCTACATTAAGGCTCTTCCTCTTCCCCTCTGCTTCAGGAGAAACAATTTCAGTTGAGCACAAGGAATGCTGAGAGGCAAAAGGCAGAACACTTGCAAATATGTGAAGGGTTTTGCTGATCAGAGTTCATCGCTCCAGTTAGTCATTATTTCATAGCTCAGGAGAAATGCAGCCTCGGTGTTCTCTAAGTGATGGGCGCGGGGTAGCAATCATAGGGGCACCGGTGAACTTCCTGATATTAAGACAGCTAAAGTGCTGTTCAGCTGTAATCCAATCAACAAGGCACTACTCTTAAGCCAGCAGCACAGCAAGGCAAGCTGAGCTGATGATCATTCARGGCAAGCTACCTGCAACTCGGTGAGAACCAATAATAATAATAAAAAGAATTCACCTATCAGAAATTTGGGGATAAAGGTCAAGATATTTTGTGATGTGTGATTATAGGTGGTCATTGGTGGTAAACACAGGATTGGTGGGAAGGGGAGGCAGCTGATGAGCAAGAGATCATGGTGTGCTTGGGGCAGACAAAAGAAGAGCCAGGAGGAAATGCATTTTTTTGAGCAGAAAGATTAATTAGTGAATGGAGCTGATTTTTTGCAGCACAGAACATGTTTTCTTTGTAAATGGACCTGAAAAGAACCAAGATAGAGTTGCTGGGCTATGCCTGTCTCCTGGTTTGTTACTGGGAATCTGTGTCTTATTCCCTAGAGATGTAAGGGGGCTACAGTGTCCTTAGTCCTATTGGTAAATGTGTGCCCACTTGAAAAATAAAATAAAAAATTAATATATGGGAAACTTTCCCTTTCACCTTTCCATGATAATGTATGGCTTGTTAAATAGTTTCCATCCAGATGACTGGGAGCCCTCACTGAGGACAAAAACTTTAGCAGTCCAGGATAAAATTAGAATGATGAGGGAAAGAATGTATCATTATCTTCTACCATTTTATACAATAGTATAGAATGATGTACTTATACTTCACATCCAGTGTCCATTTTAAACTGGGTAACAACCTAGGAGATATATAGATGCTGCATTTAACCTATTTGGGATCATCTTGACAAATTTTCTTTCTTGAGGATTGTCCTTGATGYGAAAAGGAGAGATTGTTGAAAAGGAGAGATGTTTATACTGAAGGAATGTCATAAAGAGAGGCCAGTAAGACTGGAGGGAAAATAGCATTGCAGATGATGCAGATAAAGAAATGGTCTAAGACGGTMCCTAATGAAAAAGAAACTGAGATATAACATAAAGGAATGATATATATATATACATTAAAGAAAGCATATGGACAACAGGAAAGTGAAGTTGAGAGTTATGACTTTGAAGGATGAGAAAAGGCAGCACAAAGGATGTTAAGAAGACAGGCACAAGATGTCGAGAAAAGTGATTTGTCATTTGGTTTTGGGGATGGAGTGACAGATGGGAGGCTGCAGTGAGGAAGGCTGAAGCTGTAGGGAGATAAAGGGAGCATATATGAGTTGTGTGGAGTCTCGAGAGCAAGCTGGACCTCTGAATAGTTGTGAAGGAAAGTGATGGTCATTCGCCTGTGCACGTGAAGCGGGAGACTGCTAATGTCTATGATGACAGATGATGGGAGCTGGATATGGAGAATATCTGAGAAGAAAGCGTGCTCTGGGTCCTTGGTGTGACATGGGAGGGGTGATTTTGGTTTTGCTCTCACCATGCAGCCCCTCAAAATCTGGGGGCCATCTGGACATTAGTCCTGTCCCTTGCACAAGCTGTCGGTGGCACCGAGGGATTGTTCTGGCAGCCAGGACTTGCTGGCGCATCCGAGAGCTGCTGCGCTCACGGCCAGGAGGGCAGATGGTGTCGGATCCACCACAATGGCTCTGCACCACCTGGTGTCCCCCTGCACGGGGGCTCCCACAGAGCCAGGTGAGCCTGGCTTCGGGCACGGCTGTGTCACTCAGTCGCATGGCTTAGAGCTTCTACACTGTGTCGTGACAAGTGTGACAATGAAACACCTTTGAGACTATGAGCCTTGGTGCAAGCATTCATGACAACACAGTTGGCCAACAAGGGACACAGCCGTCTCGGGCATCACCAGAGCAATGGACGGAGATGGCTGCCAAGCTAGGAAAGGGCAAACTTGGATGACATAATGTCCTCCGAGACACAGGTATTTGCAGTGATTTGTTTCTTCAATCATATCTCCTCAGCATTGCCTTTGATAAAAGTAGACCTAATGTATAAATTAAAATTTGGGCTGGTATTCTGAACTGCTCAAACAATAGATATGAAGAGGCATCATTGGCAAAGTCAGTCGTTCCTGCTCATAAACACCTACACATCAAGAATTAGTTTATTATATGTTATCTCTTGATTGAAATAACCCAATATCAATATAAGTTTGTTACAGTACATATGGTAATGAAGGTCAGAAAATTAAATACTTGCAAGGAGCAAGGTGACTGCATGAGTTTATGAAAGGTTTGAACATGAATTTTCTACATGATAAATCAGTTCCCTAAGCATCAATTTATGGAGACATTCAGTAAGGGAAAGACAGGAGGAGAAAAAAAGATTCAGGACTGATGAATGCACAGCTTTTATTATTGTTTTTTGATTACACACTGTGAGACTCTACCTAAWATGCCAGTATTTAATGCGTTATCTATAAAAACACAAATATATATGTATCTGTGCTGGACTAAGAGAAGACAGAGAGTGGCTAAAATTTAGGTTAGAATTTAGTGGACTACAAAACTATTTCTCTTTATTCCAGAAAAAAGGGATCTGCCCATTACRCAGTGTATGGTTGTATACCCTGCTTTGGAACTGCACGAATATGACAATTTAGGAAACCTATTTAAATGAATTATCTGACATGTATGGCATGTATACTGGTCATGGACCACGCCAAATCTCTCCTGTGGATCGTGAAAAAAAAATACTGACATGATAAATGGGATATTTTACCTGAAAGAACACTGTAAGTCTGGTGACTAGACTGTGGTTCAGGAAAGAATGTTACCATCACAAATATTATTAAAGTTACTTAAAAATGAATAATCTGAAGAGGAAAGAGAGATGTGGCAAAACCTGCTAGTAATAAAATTAGAAATAGAAAAATTGCTTATCCAGCTGGTAAAACCCTGATGGAGGGTGAAACCTAGCAAAAAATAAGCACCAAATTTAGAGGCGCCCTAAATATATCTGGAATATATCTGACAGACAACAAGAACTAGTGCCACTAAGGAAGATCAATCTATAAGTGAATTGAAACTGTCTAGTTCTACTCCGTTCTAAATAGATTTATACCCTGCAGAGGTTCCACATTGCTGGCACCACTGCGCTGAGTGGTGACCCAGTCTTACCTTTGTTCACACCAGTAAGGGAGACTTTCAGAACAGTTTTATTTTGTACTTCCAAGATATGTCCCCTCCAAAGGGACCAATGGCAGTTCTATAATMATTAATAAACCAAGTTTCAGTGGTATTAAATGGATTCATGGGTTGGGTGGCTTCAGCACTCAACATTTATCAATTTCAAAACTTGAACTTTTTAAAGCAATGCTTGTGATTAACTCCTGTAAATACAGTTTCTGGATGTCCATTAATGAAAGACATTCTGGTTCTCATTAAAAGCAGGGAAAGTGTGTATGCAAAGCAAAAATGTACTAGTGGAACTTCAGTTTATTCATGCTTGTCCTGCACAAGGAGATGAACCCAGCTTTTTTCAGTTTGAGTTTTCATGCACTCGTGAARTGCTGTTGCATCTGGAGTTAAACTTGGCATTGAAGACCCCAAAATGTGTATGTGAATTTCCTCATGGTTAGTACCGAACTTATGGGTCTCAGTTTAGAGAYGCCTTTGAGAATATGAGAATATTGAAAAAAACAGCAGATCACTCTCCTACTGAAATTTCCAGTTAGCAACGTGCCTAGAGGCTTGGCTAGCTTGCTGGAATTCATTTCTGGGTTTTAAAGACAGCAGTATTGCTTTCCACTCCCCCCAAAAACCCTAGGCATAAGAAGAGAGATATTTTCTTTTTGAGAAAAGAGAGTGAACACAAATTCAGCATTGATAAGCTACCCTATCTGACTTGTGTTGATGTGTTCACAAGTCATCGCGTGCTCTCCTTGTTAAACTCAAGGAGAATCTCCTCTGATAGAATGTGGGCCTATCTTTTTTTTTTTTTTTTTCTTTTTTTATTTCATTGTTTTGAGTAGCAGAATTTCTACAGATGCTCGCTTCTGCCCTGTTTACTTCAGAAAAAAAATTGTCTTATTGATCCTGAGTACACACTTCGTGCAACTTCTGGTGGTTCAAGGTAAGGAGCTTGTGTATCAGACAATACACCTTGCTTCAACCCACCCTGCTCTGGAATTTCTGTTCACATAGAAGGGCATCCTCACACCAGAGTCAAGTCTAGTGTCTCCTTCAGTTGTCTGAAGACACATAGTAGAATTTTTTTCTTGAGCTGTGGCMAATTAAATTCAGTTTAATAGCTCTAACCATTTATGTGACAGGTTTAATGTTCAAAGGGCTTATAAATACACTAATTGCTGTTCAGAATGCTCCCAAGGGATATCTTAGCCTTATTACATCCTCATTTTATTGATAGGGAAACTGAGGCAAAGAAGGGAAGTGATTTGCTCAGGACAAGTGATTGGAGTCCTCGCCAAATTGCCCAGGAGAATTCTAATGCTGTGCATTTTAAAGTATGGGAAAAAAACCCTACATTTAATGATTAAAATAGGSGAGTAACTAGCTATATTAGGCTTGTCTTCTGAATTTCAACAAAATAAGCAGTAAGGACCTCAGAGGTGACCATTCTTTGAATCTCTGCTTCATCCTCACATTTTGTTTAAGCTTCCTCCTATTTCTATTAAGCTTCTTGCATTTAACAGCATGGTGCTATTACCGTGGCACCTGGAATTTTGGCAAAAGTGGATGCTACACTCAGAGGAGGCTCTTTTATTTACAAAAGGAATTGCCTGTCCCGTAGTGACTTCAGGGAGCATTCAGGGTTGGAGATGGGAAGAATTAGGCCATTCCCAAGACTCCAAATTGAGTTATCTGGCCATAATGGCCATGCTCCAATGCCAGAACCATACAACTATTACMTGCCCTGGAGGGATTTGCAGGAAGATGTTGAGTTAAATGAAGTTATCCAGGCCGCAATTGCTATATATGTGTGTCTTCTGGTCCTCTTCTGGGTACCATTCATGAAATGCCAGTGACTCTTTCCCTGCTYGTTCTTAAGAGCAAAGCTTTGTTGGGTTCAGGGCAATATGCATTAATTTGAGAAATGTAATGCCTTCGAAGAATCGCCAAGGAACAATTAGAAAATAGAGGGGCAGAATGGTGAGAAGAAGCCAAAACAGGAGACCTATGTATGTAGTTCCAACATCAAAGGAGTATTACCTGGGCTTTTATCTCCTCTCCCTCTTGTGAGTCAAAGGTATGACATGTTACTGCATAATTTAAGCATTTTCTATTTTGAAAGCTTAAACGTCAATGTAGTTCATCTGGTGTTCGTTTCTGTTGTGCCATTCCAGGCTTGTACTTGGGCAGTGTGTCTTTCCAGATTTCATGTGGTTATTGCCCTCTTGCCTTTGATAGGTATTTGTCTGAAAGCCTCAAGGATTCATTTTGGATGCAAATTCATGCATATGCTGTGATGGTTTGCTTTGAATACAATGTCCAATGAGGTACAGTACTTTTATATATATATATGTGTGTGTATATATATATATAGCATTTTTATGTCCTACTTTACTGTGGTTTTACCATCCTCTTCTCTGTCAGGTGTAGGATGGTCTGCTTGCATCTAGACACATTGCAGTTTTTGGAGCTGTCTGTAAAGTAGCCACCTAGAAAAGAACATAGCTCTYTTCTTTTTCCATGTTTCTTTCTTTAGAATGAACTTTAAGGATTATTGACAAATCTGTTTGAAAAAGAAGCATGAAGAAAAACCTTATTGGTCCATCTTGTGGCAAAAAGCGGGTATTTCTTTGCTCATTTGAATGTTAGTGGATTATTTACGCTGGTGCAATGTTTTGAAGAGATAAAATGCTCCCCACTGTGCTACATGCAAATCTCTGGAATGTAAACATAAATAGTTGTTGAACATTCATAATCAAAGACATTTTTTATAATTATTGTTGGATAGTTCAGTCCTCTAATAGCATCATCTGTTGTAAATCAGCGTAGCTCTACCAAAGTCTGCAAAGCCCCTGCTGACTTGTACCAGATGGGACTCAAACCCTTCACTCCAAGTTGAGCCCTTCTGGAGGGAAGGAAAAAAATCTGATAGTCCTTGAATATGAAGTTCTCTGTTAATTCATGGRAAGGTAGAGCAGCAGGGACTTCATCCCCACCTCTATCCCAGCCCTTACATGGAGACAGTATTTCTGTGCTCCAAGGAAACAGTTTCTCTGCCAAGTTAATCCTTGGCCTGTATGCTCAGATTATCACCGAGATTTGTCAGATAATGAATGCTCTTTATAATGTGAGGTCTGATATTTGGACAAAGACCACCAGCTCTTTAACACAGGCCATCAAACAGCTGTTGGGTGCTAAGAATTTTCTGTGATTCACAGCCTGTGCTGTATTTTTAGATATCTAAAGGTGAAGGGCTTGATATCCTGTTTTCTGCTCCTGGTGCGATCTTCTTTTACTGTCATTCAGCATTATCTTTTCTCCAACATTTTACACTACATAAAGCATTTTTCTAAGTTATTCTAACACCTGATTCTACTTCASCTGAAGTCAAAAACTGGAATCTTATCCCTTTGGTACTCTGCAGACCAACTTCTATCCAAGTTAGTATAATAGATAATATTCAAGTAACTTTTTTTTTTTTAACAAATGGACTTAGACTACATCATCCTAATAGCTGTTGGTGGAGACTGCCCATTAGACATATGCTTGAGCTATGACAATATTTCCAAATCAGCAGTGCTATTAATTGGCATATAGAGTATTTTGTCTAATGGCTATAAGACAAAATGTGTTTGCATAAAATAGAAGATGGACAGGTAAAGGATGTTTTCACGTCTTTTGGATGCTGATAGCAAAAATATCTGATAAATACTGATTAATTACATCTTAAGACTGCTCACCTAAACTTCATGGAGAAGTAAGATTTTAGAGAAGTGAGGAATATCCACATACATTTTATAAATGTATTCACCTTTCAGATAATTAAATTTGTATCAACTTTTTCAAGTTTGTTTGCAAGTTTTTTTTCCCTGCTGTGTTTTTGATGAGATCCTCCAAAAGAGACGTCATTGTTCTGTAAGCTTGCGGTGGAGTGAACTTTTTCGCAAGAAGTCTGAGCTACTGTTAGTAGCTACTGAGGAGCTTTAAGTCCGATGTGGGTTTAATGTTGTGATGAGTGCCATGGCAGAACAGTCTAACAATATAAGTCTGTTGGACATGTCGTCTGGGCTGTCACGTTCAATTTGCACATGACCTCCTGGCCAAAAAATGGGAAAGAAGTGGTAGAATGTGGAACTGAAAGCTTATATTATTGCTTTGACAGCTTCACTCATCTAGAAGTAATGCAAAATGCAATTTATATTTATACTCTCTGACCTTCTGTACAGAGAGGGAAACTATCTAATGATGGGCCATGGTAGCAGAGAAAGAAACAGATCTCAATACAGCTGGAATTTGTCTACTTTTTTTTTCTTTTGCTTTTCAACCATTCAATTACAGTCAAAAGATAAATGAAACATGAAGAGTGCATTGGTTAGGTAGTGACACAATTATTTTATAGTGAGTAGCTTCTGGCTTTGAGCCTTGGCAAAGGTTGCCATGCAYGCCTTGTTTCACTAGATACAGATAATCTGCTTGCTCCCACCGGACATATCCCCTCTGCTCATAGGTGTGTCATCATAGAGAAAAAAAGACACCAGCAACTCAGCAACACTCTTCTTCTGTATTTAAATATTCTTGAGAGAGACTGACACTCTAATCCTATTAAGTGCGATAAATCAAGTCAGGTCTAATTGTAAACATGACTTTTTTTTTCCTTACTTTTGTGGAAAACAGACAAGCAGGGAGAARGCACCATCTTCTTTATCCAAGGACCAGTACATGGGTTTGTATCTTCCTAGGAAGAATTAAAAAATGGAGAAACATAGCAATAATATCAAGATAGAGCAGACTATACTTGAGGACCCATAGCAAGATCTATCAGGGCAGGTATCCACAACTCGGCATCCTTCAGAGGACTTCAGTCATGGCAGTTTGTASCAGCTCCATTTGGCTCAAAAATTCAGCCTCCAGCTGCATCTTATTTAAATAGATACAGCATGCAAAGAGAATTTATTTTCAGGACTAGGCATGAAGAGGATATAATGGACACAGAAAGCAGGGAGATACAGTGTTTATACAACCCAGTACGTTTTGGACATTGCTCTGACTTGGACACTTCTTCCTGCTTATTCATTCTACCTTAAACCTAAAGTTCACTTAAAGTCCATTGAAATCAATAGTGAGAGTTTCACTAGATTGTTGTAGGCAATGAAGCAAGCCTAGAGTTAAATGTTCACATAAACCAGTTGTCATTTTCTTTTCTGTCTTTTTATAGTCTGAAGTGACAGAATTCTATGGGTAGTTGTATCTTTTGGTTTGTTTTTATGATTAAAAAGGACTGTTATTAAACAAAAGTTTCAACCATRTATCCAACCTTTAGGAAATTCTTTTTTTGTAAATACTGTAATGATGAAATGCTGACTGATTCAGAATAGTGGAGATTCAATGTATACCTCCTCTTTCTATAGGACTGTTTCCCAGCAAGAAGTAGTACTTTGTCCAGACTATTGAAGTTATCCTAAAGGTTAAAAGCCTCTTAGCTCTGCATTCTTTTGGAGAAGAATATAATTATAATATACATATAATAAGGTGATATGAACGCTTATAATATACATATAACAAGGTGATATGAACACAYTGCTTTCTGGTGGGGGGATTTAGGTGAGCTGGGTTAAGCAATGGGCCGCCCATGGGGCCTGTGATCTCTGGGGCAGCTCTGGGCAGCAGTGGGGCAGGTCTGGGTGTGGGGTGGGTGCATAGGGACCCTTGCCACAGTGAACCCTGTGGTGGGTGCCCAGGGTTACGTCAATCCCCACATCCTCCTGGGCTCCTTTGCCTGGGCAGCTCTGGAGCTGGGAGCGAGCTAGACACCAGCTCTTCCTCTTCTGCTGTTTTTCTTTTTTTTCCTCCAACTAGAGGAAAGAGAATGAGTTATAAATAAATAAATAAAATGCCTGGATCAGAAAGCAAGCTTAGGGCTGACTCCTGCTGCTGTCACCAGGGGTTTCGCCCTTGGAGGAGAGGGACGAGGCCTTTGGTGGGGATGGGAGGGAAAGGTCACTGCGGGGGGCCTGGCAGCCTCTGGCCCCGCGGCTGGGGTGGGAAGCGCTGCCCGCGGCCTCCCCTCCGCTCGCCCTCTGTGCTGCTTTTTCCAGCTGAGTCACTGAATCAGAGAAACAAGCGGGTTGAGCTGGCATTTTGGAGAGGAAAAAAAGAAAAAAGCAACCCCGCTTTGTCTGTTCCCTTCGTTATTTTTTTTTTCTACCAAGCTGYTGGAGTGAAGCAGTTAATAGTGATTTTTTTTTCCAAGCGTTTTTAATCCACAACCCTGCCCTGTACCTGCCCTTATAATCCCCTAGCATGTGCTGGTGACATCACATGGCCATCAGCTCCCAGCTCCCGTCCCTGTGACTGTCATTAACTGTTGCAAGCAAATGAAAAATGACTGGGAGACTCGGTGGCTCCCACCAGTGACCTTGGGTATTATTAGAATGACCTCTCTGTGGCTTGACCATAAAAAAAGAAAAACCTTTCTTGATATCATCACAAGGGCTGGGGCCGAGCCAAGGCTGTTTGCGGCAAGGAGCGGAGGAAGCAGTTAAAGAAAGCGGAGTAAATGTTATGCAAAGATGCAGCCACTATAAATACTTGATGAGAGGAGCGTCCGCGGCAATGGACCCCGTGCCCAGACATGCCAGGCAGCATGTACCTGCCTGGCCTTATTGTTAACCCACCTCCTGTTTGCTGTTGATTTGCTTGTATTTTTTTTATTTTTAATTATTTTAGTTTTGAAAATAGAATCCCGCTTTAACCCTTAAGCACTCCTTGGCCTCACACACCCTGTTCTGGAGGACTTTTTGCCTTCCTACACACACCTCTGTGAGCAGAGGGTCTAGAAGAGTGGGGAGGCTGCACGCTGTAATGCATAAGTCTTTTCTTTATGTATCTATCCGTACACCTGCCTTATGTGTACATGTATCTATTTGGATACACACTCATGTATATATGTGACACRTGGTTATAAATACACGTGTTTAGGCTTTTCTATTGATCTGCATGTATACGAGCATGAACCTGTTAAGAGARCATGCCTAATATTGCAGCTGTCATGATACCTTCTATATGACATACACATAGAGCTAGCATATGCATCTAGCATGTATGCATATGCATCTAGCATACAGCGTATATAAGCAGTGTTTCCTGCATCACGCTCTGATAACCTTAACTGTCGCTGTAGCTGGGCCCATAATTATGAGGCTGTTGGCCATGCTCTTGATGCCATCCTGGCAGTGGCTCAAGGGCAGGCAGGGATACCGAGGCACGAGGCCGAACTGGGATATCCCCTTGTCTCTGGGGAAGGGACCTTCTGTGGCCATATGGGTCCCCAAGGGGATAGCGGGGACACACCAGCTTCTGACCACCCCCAGCAGCTTTGCTATGAAATGGTTAAGCCTCGGGAGGTGCACAGAAGCTATCCTCACCCTGCTGTCCTGCCTCGCTTCGCTGAGATCTGATGTCCTCTAGACTTCTGACCCCCCCCCAAAAAAAAAAAGCACTTTACACTTTATTACAGGTTATGAAAAGTTGCAGAAAGACATGGAGAACCCAATAAGAAGAAACCGCAAGTGGACTCGGGCGGAGGTGGCGGAATGCTCTAGATGTTTTGGAGACAGAGSGAGGATGACTTCAGATGATAAGTGTGAGCAGAAGCACTGATATGATCGACTCGGACCAGCACTGCCTGAGCTGAGCGCAGGCACCGGCACCAGCACTGACTCCCTTCAGTACATGTGGAGGAGCTGCCCTCCTTCAACTTATTTATTTATTTATCTGTTATTGAAATTAGGCTTTCTAACTTTCCAGAGAGCTTTTTCTCCATCTCTCCCCTCCCCATCCGGCTGTGTGTCCTGGGGTCCTTCCTGAGCCCAGGACAGCCTGTGTGTGACTAAGAGGATAAGGAAGAACCAGCTGTAGCAGCAGCTTCACCATCCCCAGCTTCRATCCCATCCCCATCTGGGGGCCAAGAGGGCACCTGCTGCTGCCCAGCCCTCGGTGGGGAGGCACCAGGGAAGGAGTGAGGGCCTCGGGAGAGCTGCGTTCGCATCCCTCATCTCTKCCAGCCCTTGGACCCCTCACATCACTCAGGGGATGTCAAGAACTTTGCAGAGTCTGTCAGGCTCACAGTAGTTCTGTTTCTCACAGCATCCTTATAGACAAACTTTGCAGGTGCTAAAAAAAAAAACTCAGAAAATAATAATAATAAATAATAAATAATAATAATAAAAAAAAACGAGATAACAGCTGCTCGAGGACAGTTTAAAC